TAAAATGTAAGGAGTAGAAAGTACAGATATTTGTGTAAAAATGTAAGGAGTAGAAGTAAAAAGTCGCCATAAAAATAAGTAGTAAAGTAAAAATATCAGAAAAATCTACTTGAGTACAGTAACGAAGTATTTGTACTTTGTTACTTCCCATCTCTGCTTCTGGTCCAAAGTGGTCGGCTAACAGAACCAGAACACTGGCTGGTTCATTTAGCTGGAAGTTACAGGTCCAACGCCCCTTATGGCTAAAAGTCACACGGTGCTGTTTAAACCTTTGGTTTACATCATCCATCCATCCGTCCGTCCGAGAGGTTAAACCAGGGGCCACCGGAGGCCGCCCTCAAGGACCACATTACATGTGACCCCCTTTCGAGCCTCTTTTTAAAAAATTGCACACAATCCTCAGGGAGCTGTGTCAGTAAAATATAATCTTGTTCTTTATCTCCTCTTTTTTCACCACACTTTTATTTGGAAAGATTTGATGATTTAAGAACATCTAAAAGAAACATTAAAAATCAAATATCGGCCCATGCTGATATGCCTTCACCGTTTCATCGTAGCATTTAGCAGCCATGTCTTGAGATCAATGGTAGCTCATATGATGCTACTCCTTCCCTCCATCTACTATCCATTGTTAATGCTTTGTTTAATCTGTTAATACTTCTTTTTTTTTTTTTTGTTTAAACTAAAACTTGTGTAATTTTTTTTCCAAGTATCCCATTTTTTTTTAATCTCATTCTCTTTTTATCTTGTTAATTGAGGATGAAAAACCAACAATAACTTCCGAATTAAAAACATTTTATCCGCCAATCTCTATTAAAAATGTTATTCATATAAAGAAAGTTTAGGCAAATGCTAATTCTCTTCACCTCCTGCTGCATTTCTTATGGAAATGTTAGAATGGAAGTGGATCAAATAATCGCCTCCCCCCACCTGCTGTAAGAAGTTGATTCTTTCTGGCAGGGTAACATTCTCCTCAGAATCCAGTTTCCAGTTGGCACCAGGAGTTATTTTTACTGAAGGCTGAATGAAAATGCAGGAAATATCTGGTGACAAACAGAAAGCTGCATCATGTTGCTGTTTACCACCTTCAGCGACACAATTTACTGGATGCTAAAGGAAAATTAAGGTGCAACTGAGGAGAAAATATGTTTGGAAGTCTTATTTTTTTATTTATCGGGACATGTTTCCCGTTCAGCTCTTCCTGGTGATGCGAAGAAACATGAAAATATCTGGATTTTAGTTGGTCAGAGTCTTCATCTAAAGTGGATCCTATCTTGTTTCCTAAACACCTTTTATATTATATTATATATATATATATATATATATATATATATATATATATATATATATATATATATATATATATATATATAGTGACATGAAGGATTTCTGGTACACAGTTCTGACCCAGTTAGCAGGTGCCAGTTTAACGCTTTCAATCCGGACAATAGGGGGAGCCCTAAGTGCTTAAACTAGACTTAGACACCTGGTCATCTGTTAGCTGCAGAGCTTCATTTATAATCGGATATTAAACCCACTGATTTAAGTTACTCATGGTAGTTTGTGTCTTTTTGGGATCCTGAAATCGGAAAAGGTGCAGAGATCATTGTTCTAATCTGTCTGGAGCAGCGGTGCTTCCTGCACAGAACAGAACGAGACCCAGAGCTTTGGAGGATTTTTCTTTTCCTCCATCCAGCATCATTAATGTGACCAAGGTGTTGAGTCGTGTTGTGAATTAGATTTGTACCCTAAGCTCAGCTGCCTGAATGTCCTTTGAGGGATGCATGAATGTGGCAAAGCAGCAGCAGCATAGACCCAACACCGAGCTGCAGATAAAAGATGTGGTGTTGGAATGCAGCAGGAGCGATTTTGTGAGAGTACAGCATGTTGGAGCAGAGGAGAAGCTGAGCAGACAGACAGACAGACAGGCAGGCGTTAACTTTCCCACTCCAGACTGTTGATACCCCCAGATACCAACACTAGACTCTGCTTTACATTCACCTCCATCTGCAGAGCAGGCAGCACAAACTCTCAGCCTTATCAGATTTCTCCCTCTTTTCTTTCTGCCTCTCTTCTCCAAACTTTCTCTCCCCTCCTCTGCCCCCCCACCCCCCGTCTGTGATCCTTTCCGAGGCTCTGCTGAGACTTCCTCTCCTCTGTAGCCCTATTCTCTTTCAACTCCACATCTAAAGTGTATATGTAAACACGGTCCAGTGTAAACAGGCTGCACCACTTGGCCAACCCTTCTTAAGTCCTAAAGCGTGTTTATTTTATTTCTCGCTTTTTTTCACAGAGCGCCTTCATTTCTCTGAGGGGAAAAGTCCCCTTAACTCAGACCCAGCTTTTTGAATAGGATGTGATTTATGGTCTGTGAGGAGCTGCTCTTGTTTTTCACAGAAATATATTTTTTTGTCCAGTCAATGCTGTGCAACTTTCTCTAAGAGCAAAAAAATATATATATTGCTGCAAATAGTTTCTCCTCCTTCCACAGCAGAGAGGCTGAGTTTTTAAAGTTGGGGGGTTCAGCTGAGGACATGTTTCTGCTTGATGCCAGTTGTTTGGTCAGAGACTAACTCACCTGGTCCTTCAGATCTTTACAGATACTCCTGATCTAAGCCTTTCGTCACCCGCCGGCCCCGTCTTATCTGCTCCCACACGGCAGTCGAAGAAGCTGAGTCGACAGAATCGGCCTTTAGCCGTCTACAATCCTCAAGTCCTTGACATCCAGAACGGTGAGTTTTTCTTAAGCATTTTTTCCCATTTCTGAGGTCATGAAGAGCTCTGCAGAGGCCGCGGCTCATTCAGCCAGCAGCAGGAGAAACGGGTAGCAACCAGCGAGGAACATTTCCTCCGCTTCATACCGGTGAAAGGAGCAGTCAGGCAGAACAGTGCGACCAGTTTTCTCTGAATGTGTCAGTCAGGTCTGGACTTTAACAGGACCTTTGATTCTGTTCAATCTGGGCCAAACTAGCAAAGATCTGCTGCTGTGTTTAGGATCAATGTCCTGTTTAATTCATAGGGAAGTCATATTTAATTGTCAAATCGTTCTGGCTTAAACATGTTTGTAAATGTAGTCTTTATCAGACGATATTGTCCCAAAATTTAGAAAATTTCTGTGGTGTTTTTTATTTTTTTGTTATTTTATGCAGGCCAGTTAGTTATACGTCAGCTTATGCACCTAAATTCGGGTAATCGTATATCAACAGTCATCTGTCAATCAAATTTTTTCAGTCATAGCATCTTGATTCATATGTCGCAGCTAATATACGCAACAGTTGAAATAAGAAATAAGAATAATTTCCTTTCCCATTGAGTTCCGTCCCAGTGTTCACGGGGATGGACGTCTGTGTCTTCAGCAGGCGTAGAGCTAACAGAACTGGCAGCTTTCCTGGTCCAACCTTCCCAAAAGCTGAGAGCAAGGTTAATCAACATGAACTGATCCACTGCAGTAAGATGCAGTGTTAGTTGACAGACCAGCTGTTCTGTTAAAACTAATGGTTAACATTAGAAAACATGTAACTTGCTAAATAAGGAGCGCAACAACCTCTGGAGCTCTAAAGCTGACCAATGTTCTTCCCCACTTTGGTTTATTTACTTATTTTTTCCTTTTTTTGTTTTGAAATGTAACGCTGGATTTCTCAGCTCTGTCATGCAGCTACTAGGATCTGTTAACATCTGAGCTCCGTCTCACCTGACTTCAACAAACAAGCCTTTGGCTGCAGAGTTGGATTCGAGGTTGAAGACAAACAACAGATTAATGTCAACAGATTAGTTGATCTCATGGAGATTCTTTGTTCTGTGTTTCAGCAGTGGGAGACTACTCCACCCTGTCAGCAGATGAAACCTTAACGGGCAGCAATGAGTCGGTATCTTCCCAGTCTTCGTCGGCCTCCACCTCAGAGCCGCCTGCAGAGAAGGCAGATCATCCAGCCCTCAGCGGCAGCCTCAGCTCAGGCAGCAACTCCAGGTAGGAGCTTCTCTTTCCCTCTACGCTGTTTCTGTTTCTTTTTAATCACGAGATTTGCAGAAATAAATGTCCCAGTCTAACTCACCCATCCAACACACTGGGATTAAATAAAATGTTAAGTTTTGATGAACTGGATCAGTGCTGCACCCAACAGAACAGCTTTTATGTACATTTTTAAACCGTGGCTTCAGATCATCAATATAAACTATTATTTGTCTTTTTAGTTGCAATTGTAAATAAATATTGTGACTTATTATATTAAATTTAAACTTTTCACCCAATCAAATGTAAAAACATGAGCAGCTGTTTTGTACACTCTCAAACGATTTATTTATTGTTATTTATTTTACATTTGTTGTTACCAAACCTCATGACGAAACCTCCAAAATGGTTACTAAGAGAAGGTTAGAGAGGTTGTTGGGCTTTCTGAGCAGTTTCTTTTGTTATCTGAGCAGTTTTTTTTTCTTCTGTATTATTGCAATAATGGCAAAATCAAGGAGATGAAGTTCTGGCCATTCAAAAAAATAAAATAAAATAAAAATAGATGTAGCCAATACAAACCAGCACTAAGTCGGCTACACAAGGAGCTTAAATTAGCAGATTGTTTTTATACTGGTTGCCAAAATGGAGAGAGAACAGACAATTAGATGTTTTATTCCATATCTGCTGCCACGACCGGACAGAAAAACAACAGGAGCCATGGTCTAAGGCAATAAAGTGAGGGGAATGAACAGAAACGATCAACACTGCATGTATACTCCTGTGCAATTACCGGCGGTCTAATGTGTTTAGATTATTCTTTTCAAGTCCACTGTTTCATAGAGTTTAGAGGACTTCAGTGCGGATTTAGACTGACAACACGTTTGCTAAAGAGCTTCATGAACTCTCATCTCACCAACATAAGACATATCCATGAATTGTGGATTTGAATCCAGGCTATAAAGATAACAGATGTAAATGCAGACTATACATGTTAGTGATGTGAATGCTATGAATGTAAGTGGTATGAATGCAGAATATACATGTTGGTGATTTAAATGCTATGAATGTTAGAAATGTGAATGCTATGAATGCTAGCAATATGAATGCTATAAATGTTGGGGTCGCAACCCCAGCAGTGATGACGGAAAATGGATGGATGGAATGGATGACTGTTAGTTGTGTGAATGTAAGGGATGTGAATGCAAACTATACAGGTTAGTGATGTGAATGCAGAATATATATGTGGGATGTGAATGCAGGCTATACAGGTTAGCGATGTGAATGCAGAATATATATGAGGGATGTGAATGCAGGCTATACAGGTTAGCGATGTGAATGCAGAATGTACATGAGGGATTTGAATGCAGGCTATACAGGTTAGCGATGTGAATGCAGAATATACATGAGGGATGTGAATGCAGGCTATAAATGTCAGGGATGTAATTGCAGGCTATACAGGTTAGTGATATAAATGCAGAATATACCGGTTATCGATGTGAATGCAGAATATACATGTGGAATGTGAATGCGGGCTATACCGGTTAGGGATGTGAATGCAGGCTAAACAGGTTAGCGATGTGAATGCATGCTATACAGGTCAGTGATGTGAATGCATGCTATACAGGTCAGCGATGTGAATGCAGGCTATACATGTTAGGGATGTGAATGCAGGCTATACATGTTAGGGATGTGAATGCAGGCTATACATGTTAGCGATGTGAATGCAGGCTATACATGTTAGGGATGTTATTGCAGGCTATACAGGTTATTGTTGTAAATACGGACATTACATTCAATCCACTTTCGTTTATAGATTCTGATTCATTTACTTTACTTTTTGTTTTGTATGATTTTTTCTTTTATAATCCATTCAAAGCAGCTGGGCTTATTGCTCTTAAATTAAAAGAGCCTGGGCCTAGGAAGTCCTTGAAATACTCTTGACTTTGACGCTAACCAAGGTGTTAGAATCCTAAAACAAATTAATTCACCCCCACATTAGAAACTAGTTCTATAGTTGCTTAAACTAAGGTTTAATTTCAGTGAAAAACAAAATAACCTGTCTACATTTTCATGAGATTGTGTCAAAAGTTCTGACTGTACTCACTTTTTACACACATGTGGGGGAGGCTTCTTCATGGCCCTCCTAGTAAAAATAAGAAAGACTTTTATCAGGCTAAGATGATTTTTTTTCTCAAACATCTGCCATAAAAGAAGTTATTTTGCTGTGCAGAACAGTTTCACTATGCAGCTACTGTTTTGAAGTAAATCTATGTTCTGCTCAAAATGTTCTGTTTATCAGCTTGGTACATCCCGCTGAAATGCAGGGCTGAGAATGTATGGACCCGACTCTTTATTAAACGTAATTCAGTCCGTTTCAGTCAGTTGACAAAACCTACAGAAGGTGTGTTGTCCTCCTTTGTAAAGCAGCACTTTGCTCTAAAGCTGGTAAAGCTGAACGACTCGCGTTTCTTCCACACAGAGAACTCTGTAAGGATAGCGGAGCATGCACAGTGGGTCGCACTTAAGATGAACTTGTTAGAGGAAACCTAGATTCATCTGATCGTCGATGAGCCGACACCTGTGATGCTGTGCTGTTAGCTGTGTGTGATTTTTCCAAAACAAACTTTTGAGGAACTAGCTGGTAAAATGCACCAGTTTGGCTTTCAAGGATGCAGCAGAAACCCAGATGCATCAACAGGATCTGAATGGAGGTAAAAAATGCAGTGATCTGGTTCTGGATCCATAATCTAAGATGGGGTGAGGTGACCCACACTAAAATGAATGATGTACCAACTGGAGCTGATTGTGAGTAACCCGTCCTAATGATCAGCACACTGCAGTCCTCAGTTCCTCCAAGTCCTTGGTTCTTTTTGTTGTTTCCAGGCCAGATCCTGCCTTGAATACTGATGTGAGAGATGAATTATTGGGTTATGCTGCAGATGTTAGACTCTCTGCTGTGTCATGTCTACAGATTCACCTTGAAATTGACTTCCCCTCACTCATAGGCTCTTCTCCCTCTGCCGAATTAAAGGAGTGAAACAAATCCTCCTTCTGACTTGACAGGACAGTGATTCCTTTGCTCTGTGACCTCAGTGAGGCATGTCTCTGGATCTGCAGAAAAAGAAAACAGACCAGATATTTCTTATGTAACCCACCAGCTCTGTCCCACATACGTGTCATCAAGTCAGAGGACGGAAGCAGCGACCAGGAGGAGGCCTTAAATCTGGGGCCGTATCTGTTTGTAGGACAGGTGGCCGTGCGTTGGCCGTGTAAATCCTGACGTTGGAGAGGTGTTCGTCTTGTTTACGGTCGAGCCGCGGGCCCCGTCCCTTTATGAAGACATGGGCCATATGTCACAGGGTGTCGCCCTGGCTTTGTTGGCTCATGAATGTGAGATGGTGAGACCTGTTAGCACAGCAGCTCCCTGGCGTTGGACCCAGGGATTCGGCTTTTCTCTCGGCCAAAATCAGCAGGGATTGCAGCTTCAGAAACCCGATATCTGTAGCCGGCTATTCCCCGGAGCTGCACCTGGGCAAATATTTATTGGTTTCCATAAATCTGCCTGGTTATTCACTGATTCACCGTATCTTACAGCAACATTTTAATCTCTGTGTGCCAGGTACTTCCCTCATGTCCCTTCTTCTCCTTACATTCAATGGCAGCTTTTCCCAGTTTTCCTGCTGCCTCAGGTCCTAACAACTTGAATATGTGAGCATTTCTTTTTTCCTCTTGGCTGTGTGTTCTGCCTTCAGCTCCCCTGGCAAACAGCTGTGGATCATAAGCTTGAGGATCCGGGCGTATTTCCTGCCCACCCAAACTGGCAGTAGCCGGTCGAAGAGCTCGGCTGTAGTCTTGATCCTGCTTTATACTAGAAACGGATATGAATCCCCCCGCTGCCCTTCTTCGTTTACTGTGAAGACAGACGATAGCCCCGCTCATCCTCCTGAAAGCTCAATGCCAGGATCAACAGGACTCTGACTCTTCATGCTGGAATTCCTGCAGTAATGAGAAGCAGCAGTTTGCTTGTCTAGAGTCCCTCCTGCCTTTTATGAATGTGTGACATATCCCTGATTTATTTTTAAAGAAATATAAGATCTGCCTTTTGCAGAATTGTTAGTTTTATTGCAGTATGCTTCTAAATATAATGTCTTCAGTATCGACCGTATTAATGCAGTTAAACATATTCTCTTGCAAATTAATGATTAGAGCAAAATAATAATGGTAATAATAATTGTCTGTCTCTTATTAATCCAAATCCTTCTCTCATTGGTTGATCAGTGTCTCCTGACCTCTGCTCTCCTTAAAGGGACCCACCATTACTTCTAACAAACTATTTGAGAAACATTTTTTATGTAAATACAATGCAGTAAAAAGCTGTTTAGTATTATTAATACATTAAAAGAAAAAAATATTGTCACACATGTTACCATTTTGTTTACACTGTAATGCTTTCTGGGTAAAATGTGTTAGCCTGTTCCATCTAGCCGAAACAACGCTTAATTTTAAATCCTTTTCAGTTTGAACAGGAGCGCGTTGAAATTGATGACAGTGTAGAAATCATAGGAGGTGATGAAGATGAGGACCTAACGGAGGAAGAGGGGACAGTTGGCTGAAGAAGCTGCTGCTTAGCAATGCTAAGATGGAGAGCTATGCTTCAAAGAGCTCCAATTTCTGAGGCTGTTAGCAGTTAGCATCAGGATCAAAATATTTTTTCGGATATATTTGAACGATGAGTTAAAATGACTTAAAACTATTTCTGTCACTTTTAACAGTCTTTTATTATCTTCTAATTTGATCTTGATTCCACGTTGGCTTCTACTAATGCTTCTCTAATGGTGACCTCCATGCGTAAAAGGTGTAACAAATTATTTATAACTGTTAATATGAGTTTTTACCAGGGTTCCCGGGGGTCCTTGAAAAGTCTTAAAAGGCATTGAATTCTTCGAAATAAAACTAAGATCTTAATTGGTATTAAAATGTCTTAAATCAGTCTTTCAAAGGTCTTAATTTTTAAAACATCATA